AGCTCCATGGGCTTCTTCATCAGGCAAGATGCTACAAACCAGAGAAAAACAATTGGAGATGTTAGTCAGATGCCTACATGTTATGTCAGTCTTTAGTTAAGATGGTACGAGAATGATGCTAGGAAAGAGGGAAGGCAGCAGAAAGAGAGGAAGACCACATGCCAGATGTTAGACTTGCTCAAGGAAAACACAGGCCTGGGCCTGCAGGACCTGAGCAAAGAGGCAGAAAACAAGGTGTCTTGGAGACGTTTCATCCACAGGGTCATCATGAGGCAAAGTTGATTTGAGAGCAATTAACAACAACAACATACACATGAAAGGAATTAGTTCAGTGTGGATTCAGTCAAGGGTTTGTTGCTAGTTAAGTACACTGTTAAACATTTGTCTTGCTCAGAGTTCTAGAAGTATATTGCAAACCATTAAGGCATTTTGACTAAGGGGGGGGGGTTGCAGACTGCCAGAAATAGTGCAAATTGAGTCCACTTTTAGAGTTAGGGTTGGGGAATCATGGGAACTGTATTTTATTGTGGCACCAGAGGTCTCTGACAGAGAAGGCTCAATGTCTCAGGGAAAAAACAAAACAATTCCCATGCACTAACCCTAACCCTAAAAGTGGACTCAATTTGCACTATTTCTGGCAGTCTGCAACCCCCCAAAGATAAGTTCATCAGAAAAATGTGGCTGAGTACATGATAAAATGCAGTTTATGTCATATAGCTGTAAATAAACCATATGAAATTAATGTATATTTATATGAGTGTTTTTAGGTTTTAAGTTGTAATGTCCTATGTTTTTCTTTCTATATTTTACTGAGCATCTTGGTCAGAGTACTGGAGGGAAGCAATGAAAGGTATTTCTCCAATATTATTTCTAGGCTGTGTAGGGCTTAGAGAACAGAATGACTAGGTGTCCTCCTTTTCCAGGACATGCCCCACATTTCAACCTGCTTTTGTCCTGAAGGAATTCCAAAACGTCCTCCATTTTAAGCATAACTACGACTGCATTAATTTATATGAGTGTGTTTATCATTTATTTTGTAATGCCCTACATTATTCTTGAACGTCCTCCATTTCGCAATGCTTTGTCCTCCTTCATGCTTAGGCCATCTGATTGTCTTGACAGCAAGCCAACTCAAGCACTGTCACAAACAGGGTGACCAAAAGTCCTCCATTTTGAGCAGGACTACGATGCATGAATTTATATTTATATGAGTGTATTTAGCTTTTATTTTATAATGTGCTACATTTTTTCGTGAATGTCCTATATTTTGGGATGCCTTTGCAGTTAGGACATCTGACCACCCTGATTAAACACCCAGTTGGGTGGGTGGTTTTGGGCATATAACCACAGCAGCAATAACAACAACTTTTCCAGGCTTTCAGTTTAATACTGAGCTGGTGTCTGCCACCTCCATCTTGCTATAGTAGAAAATTTAACTATTACAGAAAGAGCAGGGTGACCAGAGGTCCTCCTTTTTCCCAGGACCTGTCCTCCATTTCAACCTCCTTCTGCCCAGGAAGACTCCCAAAACGTCCTCCATTTGGAGCAGGACTAAAAAGGATGACTTGACATAATATTGATTTGAGCTCAGGGTGAGCAAAGCTCCTCCTTTTCCCCAAAAACCTGTCCTCCATTTCAACCTCCATCTGCCCAGGAGGATTCCCCAAAAGTCCTCCATTTGGAGCAAGACTAAAGGCCTTTGCAGACTGCTAGAAATAGTGCAAATTGAGTCCACTTTAAGGGTTAGGGTTAGAGTTAGGGAATCATGGGAACTGTAGTTGAGTGTGGCACCAGAGCTCTCTGACAGAGAAGGCTCAATGTCTCAGAAAGGGAAAAAAAAACAATTCCCATGATTCCCTAGCACTAATCCTAACCCTTAAAGTGGACGCAATTTGCACTATTTCTGGCAGTCTGCAAAGGCCCTAAAAAGGATGACTTGACATAATATTGATTTGAGCTCAGGGTGAGCAGAGCTCCTCCTTTTTCCCCCAGGACCTGTCCTCCATCTCAACTTCCTTGTGCCCAGGAGGAATCCCAAAACGTCCTCCATTTGGAAGAGGACTAGGAAAGCATGAATGTTCATTTCCAGGAGTGTTTTTAGCCTTCCTTTGGCCCTGTCCTCCTCCCTTTGTGCGGTGCCCTTGTCTTCTCCCTTGGTGGTGAGATGGCATCTCTTCGCCCAGAGGAAGAAGAGCAAAAGTTACTGAGTTTCCTTGGGAGGAAGTCTGGAAAGGCGGGATTTTTAGGAAGCGAGGAGGGGGGAAAGGGCGGGAGGACCAAGAGGAGGGCTCTGGTTGGGATGTGTGGTGTCATAGCCCTGCCCCTTGCCTGGAGGAGAGAGCTATAAATCCCTGCCCAGACTGGCTGGTTGCCTGGCTGGCTGGTGCCTCCTGGGTGCTGCTTTTGGAGAGAGCAGACCTACTCGTTGCGCATCTCCAGGTAAGCAGCCAAGGAAAAGGGAGGCCCTTGGGTTAATGTGGTGTTGTGTTGTTGTTGTGTGCCTTCAAGTCATTCCTGACTTTATGGCAACCCGAAGGCAAACCCGTCCCGGCTTTTTTCTTGGCAAGGTTTCTTCAGAGGCAGGTTGCCATTGCCTTCCTTCTCATCTGAGGCTGAAGAGTGAGTGAGTGAGTGAGTGAGTATTATCCTGGGGCTTTTCTTGGCAAAGTTTCTTCAGAGGGAGGTCTCTCTCATTGCCATTCTCTGAGGCTGAGTTCAAAGATACATCCGTGTTGTATAGGTCTATAGAGACATCTTGGAGCACCTTTGAGACTACCTGAAAGAAAGAAGGTGGCAGCATGGTCCTAGATTCCTCAGATGCATTCTCTGAGGCTGAGACAGTGTGACTTGCCCACGGTCACCCAGGACGGAGTGGGGACTCGAACCCTAGTCTCCGGAGTCCTAGTCCAGCGCTCAAACCACTCCGCCACGCTGCCTCCTTTTCTCCAAGCCAGTTGCTTTTCTTTTCCAGGGTTTCTCATTTTGGGTTTTCTTCATGAGATGCCAGGGCTGTCCTAAGTCGGCACCAATTGTACTACTACTACTACTAGTAGTAGTAGTAGTAGCAACTTAGGGGGGTTGCAGACTACCAGAAATAGTGCAAATTGAGTCCACTTTTAGGGTTAGGGAATCATGGGAAGTGTATTTTATTGTGGCACCAGAGCTCTCTGACAGAGAAGGCTCAATGTCTCAGGAAAAAAAAAACAATTCCCATGATTCCCTAGCACTAACCCTAACCCTAAAAGTGGACTCAATTTGCACTATTTCTGGCAGTCTGCAACCCCTTTTAGACTGCATCCGCACTGCAGAAATAATCCGGTTTGATCCCAGATTATAACTGCCACTGCTCCAGGCTATGGAATTCTGGGAATGGGAGTTTGCTGTGGCATCAGAGCAGACCTAGAAAATCCAGAATTAACTAATCGCTAGAATTGCATCGAGTAGAGCAGGGGTAGGCAACCTTTCCCCTTTAAGGGCCGAGGGACTTCAGCTCCCAGAATCCCAGGAGCTATTGGCCAACATGGGACTATTGGCCAAGATGGCTGAGGCTTCTGGGAGCTGAAGTCCCTCGGCCCTTAAAGGGGAAAGGTTGCCTACCCCTGGAGTAGAGACACCCCTAGTTCACTTATATGGCAACCATAATACTGTCTACAGACTCTTGAATGGTGTAGATACAAAGGCTGCATCCACACTGCAGAAATAAACCAGTCTGATATCGTTTTAACTGGCATGGCTCCATGCTTTGAAATTCACCACTCTGGGGCCACAACAAAGTACAGTTCCCATAACTCCATAGCATGGAGCCATGGCATTTAAAAGTGGCGCCAACCCATTTTATTTCTGCAGTGTGGATGCAACCAAAGTTGCAGTAGTGCTCAGACTTCAAGAAAATTTTGAGCTCATTTATGTGGAGCAGTTTGGGGTTTTGTCCTAGTGGGTCTTGGCTATGGAAAAATCCATATGGAAAATGTTATTTCAGGAGTGTGCATGTGGCGCTATGAATAATCTTGTTTTGTTTCTATAGCTGTTCCCTGATATCTGGAAAGTCCACGTCTTCCTGTTCCGTGAAGTGCCTCTCTAAATAGACATGGATTAATTAGGAAAAGTACATCTACCTGCTGTAAACCCTTTAACAGAAAAGCTAAATGCTGTAGGTAATGGGGCTTAGTCATATGCCTTAACAGCCGGTCCCAATCACCTGCTTGTTAAGTCCCTTAGCTATCTGGAGCTCAAACTTAAGTTTCTACCAGGTTTAAGATGTGATAATGACAAGGTTCAGTTTCCCAAATAGGAGATGGTACCTAAGAAGAGAGCAAATACAGTACAATGGAGTTGCTCAAAACGAATTTAAAGAAAGCGACCCTGGCGGCTTTTTATGCCAGTGTCAAACATACAGTTCTGAAGGCAGAAATATGCATTGGCCCTATAACATAATAGCAGTAAATCTTGGCAGATGAATCCTGTGTTTGAGCCAGTGCTTTTGTGAGAAGCAAAATGTATGATTTTTCCCTTTCTGCAAGGCTTTGCAAATCTCACACAGGGTTTTTTTTCTACTTCTTCTTCTTCTTTCCAAACTTTTCAAATTAGTTTTGTTTGAATTTCACTTTTAAACTAAGATGTTTTTATTTAAGCAAGTGTTTGAAACATAAAGCATGGGACAGTGCTTTTATGCTGAGCATGTGTATTTGTCATGCCTTTTAACTTTGAATATTTTAAATGCAATTTTAATTGTTTTAGATTAAAAAAAAAATTAAACAGCTAAAATAATCTGTGAGCTGCCTTGGGTTCCTTCTGGGAGAAAAGCAGCATATAAATGAAATAAATAAATAAATAAACCTTTGTAAAATGTTCTGGGATGCTTTTCAGTAAATGACAAAGAGTATCAAATCTTGTAACAAACAAGGATAAAAACAATGCAGGGGTTCCTAAACTTACTCCAAAAGAAAATTCCTCCCCTGTTTGCAGAATGAATTCATATTTTTCCTTGCACAGGACAGGTTCTGTCATGAAGAATTGCTAAAGTAAGAATGGTGGAAAATGGGAGGCTGTTGTCTCCCAAAAATAGAGCCAAAGGATTTTGCAATGATCATGTGTGATTCATAGAACTTGTTCTACAGCTTGGATGCTACAGAATATTTTCTCGTTTGAATGAGGTTCTCTGTAGCAGAGGATGAGTTACTGCTCTTCTTACTCGTCTCAAATGTTTGAGTAACTTAATGTAGGATAACATTTTCCATACTATAGTTACCCTGCCTTCCAATGACAAGCACACTCAAGACAGTACACACAGGACGGGTAATGCTGCAACCATAAAAAATACATATTTAATGCACCGGTATTTGGATAAAATCCATCAAACTTGAGGACTGACACACTGCTTACAAAAATAACTGTATATAAAACCAATGAAGAGTTAAGTGTGGCTATTCCTTTTTAGGATAATGGATGAAGCACTTGTAGAACATTTACTCTAGAATCATCAGTTCTGAAAAACACAGTAAGAAAATACCATTCATTTCTGTAGCTCATTATAGCATACATTACTATATTATGCTGGACTTGGCAGCATAATTACGGGATTCTCATTACTGATTCCAAGTCAGTTGAATAAAACCCTTCAATGTTGACGTTCCAAAACAATAAAAGTTAAAATTAAACATTGTCTTTCTTGGTTCAGGTGGAAGTATGTGGGCACAAATAATTGTTGTTCATTTATATCCTGCTTTTTGACCTTTTGCTATGGGGGGGGCAGCCACTGAGTTGTAAGACTAAAGTATATGAAACTTCAGTTGGAATTGTACAGTTGACATGTCTAGATCTGATGGACATTTGATGGAGAAACTGGTCAGGAACAAGATTACAGGATGAGTTTTTAAAATCATTTTGTCCCTCTCCCAGTCATAGGTGGGAGCTCCCTCCCTGGGAGAAGGATTTCTGTTGGGACCATAGCATTTGTTAGGGATGAAGGTGTTGAGATGTGAGAAAAAAAGTTTTAAAATATTTTTGGGTACTTCAAATGGGACCAGGCTTTTTCAACAAGAGAAGCATTAGACTCTCTTAATGACTTGGACTATGGTTGGTAATTACTTTTGTGTATAATTTCCCTAAATCTTATAGAAAGTTTTGCTCATCAGTTGAATCACAGACAGTTTTGATTACCAAGATCACTGTTACACTGAAATAGGTTGTGTTGCAATTGTGTCTCTTGACAGCCTGAACTGATCACAAGGGGGGAAATGGAGTTGGCAGCATAATTATGGGATTCTCATTACTGATGCCAAGCCAATTGACTAAAACTCCTCAATGCTGATGTCCAAAACCAATAAAAATTAGGAATTAGACATTGCTTTTCTTGGTGTTGGTGGAAATATGTGGGCTCAAATAATTGTTGTTTGTTTATATTCTGCTTTTTGACAGTAATAAGATTCAAGGCAGTTTACAAAAATGAAAATAATGCCATTATATTGTTAAAATGCAAGTAAACAAGTTCCTTGTTAATCTTGTTGCCCACTTCAAGGAAAGAAAATTCCCACAGAGACTGGGAAAGGTGTCTGATCATGCACTCAGTATGGGAATTGGCTATGCTACCTGTAAAATTCAAGGAATTGTAATCTTATCAAATTCACTGGGTGATCTTGGGCAAGTCACATGCTGTCAGCCTCAGGGGAAAAAGCAACGGCAAACTTCCTCTAAACAATCTTGCCAAGAAAACCCTATGATATCTTCCCCTTAGGGTTACCATAAGTTGGAAATGACTTGAAGGCATACAACAACAATAACAAATCTGTCAAGGTTACATTCCCAAGCTCTACATTAACAATTTTATAATTTGTAGTTCTAGACAAGAGGAGAAGCATGCATTTCTTGCAGGTCTGTTTTGGGAGGATCAGTCAGCATTGACCATGTTGCTGTTTGCTGATCATGGCTACCTTACCTGCTAGTCCTGAAAAGTGCAGCCATCAGAAAACTGCTAAATTAGTACACCTCAGTGATCCAGTTATGAGGATCTCTTAAGTACAGTAGCAGAATACATCCTGAAAGGTCAGAAAACAAGACATATTTTACCACATTAATTGTTATCACAGAGAGCTGACAGTAAAAAGAAGCATTCAGTCTCCAAAATAAAGGCTATATAGCTGGTAACTTCTGATAGACGTTGTTCCTATATGGCAGTGCCAAAGAATATATACACACAACAAGGAATTTGGCGTGAGTGGTAATGATGAAGCTATTTATTAGTGTTGTTGCCATTGCAAAAGCAGTACAGGTTGAGTATCCCATGTCTGAAATGCTTGAGAGCAGAAGTGTTTGGGATTTTGGATTTTTTCAGATTTTGGAATATTGACATATGCATAATGAGAAACCTTAGAAATGGGACCCAAGTCTAAACATGAAATTAATTTCTGTTTCATATACACCTTACATACATAGCCTGAATGTAATTTTATACAATATTTGTAATAATTGTGTCCATGAAACCAAATTTGTGTGCACTGAATGATCAGAAAGCAAAGGTGTCACTATCTGAGATGCCCATGGAAAAAAAATTGAATTTCTGAGATTTTTGGATTTTCAGACAAGGGATACTCACTCAACCTGTAACATGAAACAAATAAAATCCTTTGGAGTTTGGTATCAAAGTCTTCCTTTGTTTCTTGATTGGTTCTGATTATGAACATGGCACAAGATCTGAATGTTTCTCTTTGCCAGAGCTTGGAAAAGTTACTTTTTCAGACTGTCGCTTTCAGCATGGTCATAGTGCCTGAGGTATTCTGGAAGTTGTAGTGTTAAAGAGTAATAGCTCTGCTTCTTGTTTTCTGAACTGGTGAGTGATTGTGGCCTTAGAAGATTGTCTTTCACCAGCTAACTGCTTTGCATTCCTTTGTGAAATAAAAGGATGAAGGGCAGTCCCATCAGAGACTACCTGTTTGATAAA